GTCAGGGATGATGGTGCTCTTTCTAATACATCTCATTGGATTATTCTTGCTGTGACCTTCAGCCTCCGTTTAGAATACCTCAGCAGGCAGGACGCACCGAAGGGCTTGCCTCTCTCTGTGTCTGATCGTGCCAAAAAACATACACACATGGAACTGTAAGGAACCAGATACTGGACAAACGATCTAAAAGGCAAAATGCCAAAGGAATTAAGTGTAGATGTCATTTGTGGAAGTGCAGAGTTTGTTCTGGAGAGAGAAAAAAGAGAGAACAGAATTACAGTAACACCAGCAGACCACAAGGAATGTGGCCAGGCAGCGTGTACAGGCAAGCCCAACATGTGATCACACTCACAGAGAAACAGGGGGAGAAAAGAGGACAAAGGAAACCAAAGCTGCACAGCATCACTGACTGATAGCAGGGAAGATGGAAGGTAATGACAGGACTCACATTCAGGTGGATTTTTAAATGGACACAACAGTTAATATTCACTCTGAGGGCTCAAAGAATGCTTTGTGTGAGCACATAACATGCCACATACCAAATAATCAAAGCTAAAAAGTATTCAGGTTATTTTCCCCAATTAAATTAGCATTACATCCAAGTACAAATACTTAATTGCAAGTCATTTAAATCTAAAAGTTCACCCTAATGTCAAAAATGCATGCTTTCCTCTTAACTGTAGAGCAATTTATCAATGTAGATTGTTTTGGTGTGACACTCGCAGAGTATTTGGCCTTATAAATGAGTACAGCAGCACATTAATGTTGCAGATACTGTAATTGAGGTCGTGTTCATACGGAGCCCCCTAGGGGACATGGAGAAGAAAAAAAAATGTATTTGAAAAAAATAAAAATAATAATGTTTTGCGAGATATCGCAAAACCTTTGCGAGATCTCGCAATACTTTTGCGAGATCTCGCAAAACCCCTTTGCGAGATCTCGCAATACTTTTGCGAGATCTCGCAATACTTTTCATTTAGCTCAATGTACTTCCTGGTCAGTTCGGCTGCTACGGCAACACAGAAACCACAACAATGGAGCGGTTCATCGATTTTACTTTGAGCTTGGCCTTAAATATAAAGATATAACATCAGTGCTTGGCAATAGGCACGGGTTTCACACAGACTGTATATATAAAGGGTTTCACATAAGTGAAGACACCTCAAGAGAACACTCAGAGCAGGGGACATGCACGTCCCTCTGAGCTGAGTTATTGACAGATTCGAATTTCGCGGATCAATAACTCATGAACATAACGTTGTAAAAATACAAACAATCATAGCAAGGTAGACAACGAGCTACAGAGTCGTTTCTATCAGAACAGTTCGATACGCGCCGTCATCCGAGGTAAACATCAAGAATTGGTCACAATCTGCAGCTTGAGGAGGGAGAGGAGTGCTTAGGGACCGTCTACAAACTGCAACGGGGTTTTGCGAGATCTCGCAAAGGTTTTGCGATATCTCGCAAAACATTTTTTATTTTTATTTTTTCAAATAATTTTTTTTTTCTTCTCCATGTCCCCTAGGGGGCTCCGTATGTTCAAGTATCTTTAAATACTGAAAAGGAGTTTAATCTACAAAAACATATCACGTTTTAAATCTCATGTTTTTTTTGTAAAATGGCAGAAAAAGAATACTCAGATACCTAAAGACTGTACTAAAGTAAATTATTTAAGAATATAGTTACCCATAACTTATGGGAAGAAGCATAGTATTGCAATATTTTGCATGGCAAATTATTGTATCAATACAATATTATTGATACTTTTATTGATGATATCAGAGTGATTTTACAACTAATATTGAGACATCAAAGAAACGTAATCAGGAATCCACCGAAAATCATTATGGTGTTACAATGTATTAGAAAGTTGACTCACATCATACTTAAAAGGTATTTAATAGTAACAAATGCTATTACAGTTTTTAGCACATCCCAACAACATCGTTATGTATCATGGGGCGTTGGTGATTCCAACCCCAACAGTAAAGACATTTACAGAGCCTAAGTAAACTGTTAATAGTTAAATAATAATAAATGTCTTCTTCTCAAACAATATTTCAATTTCTTATAAGTGGTGTTTCTACCAGCCAGTATCTGCTGTCTCAAAAGGGCAAACGTCATGTTAAATGACTTTCCCAGGGCACCCCATCTCAACTCTGTCGGTTTTGGCAAAACACATGTAGGGCCTTTTTTCTTCATGAGTGGTGAGCTCATACTGGATTTCTTTTTGCTATTTTTAGGCTGGCTGCATTTGGCTTGGACATTTCCTCGCAGTACTGCATGATACTCAATGAAAACACATGAGGGTGCTGTTTTACATTCAGGAGGCCTGTCTGAAATGGCAAAGAGGGGAGAAGCATCGCAAGTGGACACACGCACGCACACACACACACACACACACACACACACACACACACACACACACACTTGTTTATATTTAGTATCATGTAAAGGAATGAATACCTCAATATAAAGCATAATCTGCTCATTTATCAATTTCTGTCGATTGAAAAAAATCTGATAACTAACTGTTGACACAGACAACTAAAACTTGCACCAAGAAAGACGTCTTTAATTCCTAATATTTTGCAGAGGGGATTCACTATTTATTAAATGTAGGCAAATAAAAAAGCATACTAATATTGTGTGATCACACACAATTTCCATTGATTACTAATCCAACGATAGGAACATGATTTTTCTCAAACTCCATTGTATTATTCACATGTCTACCTATTGTAACCACTGCTCTATCAGGATCATGTGCAAACGTAACATAAATGATGTATTGCTACGGTCTGCTAACTTCCTTTTGTGTGCAGTTTTGTATAGAGAATGTCATAGCCCAGGGGTTTCCAAATGCAATGTTCCCCTAATTAGATTTAGACCCCCACATAAAAACCCAAGAGAATACTCCCATAATAATCCAGAAGGGATTTATTGTGCGTGGCTTTTACTGCATGGCATGTTTACAGTGAGATCTCATACTTTATGGTAGTTGGGATCTCCCCTGGCATCACTCCTATTCCTATAACTATTGTGAACTAAAAGTAAATGCATAATGACCATAGTGCAGAAAGTTATAGTTATGACCATGTGGAATAGTTATGGAATGATGTTCTCTTTTGTTTTATTTGCTTGTGCTTTGATTTTTGGAATTTTAATTTGGGAATATGGTTTAAATCCAGTGGTGGAAGAAGTATTCAAATGCTTTATTTGAGTAAAAGTACCAACAGATTATTTTCAAAATTAAAAGTAAAAGTCTGCCAGAATCTTACTTAAATCAAAGTACAAAAGTATTTTAAGCAAAATGTTAATCAAGTATAAAAAGTAAAAGTAATCATTGTGCAGAAAAATGTAGTAGAGAAGTGTGTATATAATGATTTATATTAGAGCCGGGACTCGATTAAAAAAATTAATCTAATTAATTAGAGGCTTTGTAATTAATTAATCGAAATTAATCGCATTTTTAATCACATAAATATTTGACCTGAGAACAGTGAGAAGCAATTTTTTTCACATGTATTTTAGTATACCATTAGGCGCATTCACACCGCAGTACTTTTCCCACAAAGGTTCATGAGAACTCTTTGAACCTGAGGGTGGATTAGGCAAATGAAGCCACTGACGGCACTTCTTCTTCTTCTGCTTTGGTTTTACTGGCAGGCCGCAAACCACTTCACGGCGTATACTGCCGCCCAAAGTCCCCGGCCGGAAGTCCCCGGAGTTGGGGACTGGCTTCAGTAGAAGCTGCTGGGAGTCCCAGCAGCCTTCCGAGTAAATCGCCAGAACGCCAACACCTCCTCATCTCCACCGCTCCCATGTTTTATTTTGTGTTGCCATAAGTTAGTCTCTCTGCGTTTCTGCGCTGGGCTAATGCTAATAATGCTAATAATGCTAATGCGAGGATAATAAAATGGCGGCTTCACAAAACTTTTTGGGAGTTTTACGGGGCGTGGTTTGCAATCCGCCCAGCCAATCAGAAATATAGCTCTTTTCTCACAAGAGAGCCGTACGAAAGTCCCTGCTCTCTAGCAGCTCTCTGCTCTCTGCTCTCTAGCAGGGACTTTCGTGGGGGTAAAAAGGTTCTCATGAACTAATTTTAGTACCGGCTCTTTTTGGTGTGAACGCGATAAAAGAGGCTAACGTCCACGCTAGCTTCCACGCTAGCTGCTATATGTTTTGCATTGAGGTGATACTTGAGGCTTGATGTGCTGCGGTGATATGCGAATTCCTTTTTGCATAATTTGCACACAACCGTGCTCTATCGACGCTTCCATCCGTCCGTTTTTTAAAACAACATTTCCCACTGTTGTTCACTGTGGTTTGTTGTTGTCTGAAGTCATGAACGTTAGTTGGTGCTCCAGTATAATCGGTACGCCTGAAACTCATCCAGTGAGAAACGTTCCGCGGTGCAAAAATAACTGCGATTAAAATGCGTTAATTTTTTTAACGCGTTAATTTTTGTGTAATTAATTAATCTTAATTAACGCGTTAAAGTCCCGGCCCTAATTTATATATATGACATTTCTAGATAATATTGTTGCATCAAGTAGCATTTTACTGTTGTAGACAAAGTTACGATTGACTTTTTGTAAAATATTGAAATCATTTGACTCTTTGGTGAAATGTAGTGGAGTACAAGTACAGCATTTACCTCTGAATTGTAGTGGAGTAGAAGTACAAAGTAGCAAACAAATTGAAATACTCAAGTAAAGTAAAGCACCTCGAATCCACGTACAGTACCTGAGTAAATCTACTTAGTTACTTTACACCTCTGTTTAAATCCAATCTTGAAAGAGGGAAGATAGTTTACACTTGAACCTGATGTTCATTGCACCACTGAGTCCACCCTCTCTCCCCCTCCGTCCTCCCTCCTCCTCTTTTCTGTCTGCTGCTTCCACAGCGCTGCAGGTTGAATCTATTGCCCCTATTTCCTGTCACATGGGTTGGAAATAGGATCCCTGCTTTCTACTATCTGTTGCCGTCTCCGTGGTGTCAGTGTAGTAGTAGCTGTAGGACCTGCCTTGAAGTTCAGGGACTTTTAACGCCGGCCGAAGAGAGTCTGGCGCACAGACCGGGACAGACCGTCAGTCAGTCCGCCCGCTCTGCGCATCCGTCCGTCTGGCTGCACTTCACCTGAGAGACACTTTAAACACACCATGGATTCCTGGACAGCCACCTTGGCTCTTCTTCTCGCTGGGGTTATTTCTTCAGCGGCTTTGAGTGTTTTCGACACCGGTGAGTCAAACTTTTCTGCTCGCATTTTGCGCAGGATGTATACGGATACATGTCTGCGCTGACGGAAGCGTCTCCAAAGTTGCTCTTTTGAATATGCTCTTATCCTATCAGCAAGTTTTGAATACATATCCAAAATGTGTTACGTTTTTATGTTATTATGATATTTTCATACTTAGTTTTGAATTTGTCACAGATTGCATTCGCAGTAACTTAATTCATACTGTAGTTCATCGCCTTGGTTCACATCCCACTACGACACTGTTTCCCAAATGCACGCTGGCTGCACTATGGGTGTTTAAAGAGGGCGGCTAAAGCCACAAGGAGCAATGGGTTTAGATTTGATGTGATAAGTTCGAAGACAACAGAACGAGACAGTGTCAGTTATCCCTCCACACACACAGGTACACACAGACCAGTAGAGTCCCGGCGACACATCTGAGCGAACAGCGGTGCATGATGTGAATCTGGAAAAAGGCTTAGAAAATCATCTGGAAGCGATGTTATGTTCTTTTTAAGATACGTTTCGATTGAATCAGGGAGACCACGGGCTTGTAACCCAAACCAGCAGCTGTTGCGCACTCCTCTCTCCTGCACATCCTTTCGCCTTGGGTCCGGGGTATACTTACCTGTTCTGCATCAGCTGCTCAACACTCATCAATCATATTGTATTCTTTTGAATTGGTCATTTTTAAACAGTTATGGCAAAACATATTTATATCCATCATAATATTATTGTTGGCTTTCTGGCTTGTGTATCTTTTAATTGAATCACACAGACATATACCCTGCATGCCGAAATGAACTCAAAACCCCTCAGCTCAGTCATCTGATAACTTCCATTTAATTCACCATCAAATTCAGATTAATACGCAGTCATAGCATTGCGTCTTTCTGCAAGAACTTCAAAGTTGCAACCGTATCCCAATTCAAAGCTGAATATGTTGTTTTTAATGTGAATATCTAATAGCGATGACCACACAAACCGAGCTTCTCCTTTGCTGTAATTTGTGCCGCGTTTCATGTCGAAGCAGCAAATCCTCATGCTTTCCTTTTTAATTTTTTTGTCTCTTAATTATACCCTTGGATTTCAAATTAGAGGGTCCACCATCTGGGCTAGTGCGTAAGTACTCCCATGTGTACCTATGTATTAACAAAGTATTTAAAGCAATGGTATTCCCCCTCATAACAGTGGGGGGGGGGAACAGTCTAGGTTTATGTTTAGTTTAAGTCAGCTGTGGCACATTACTGTACAGTAAAACAATAATATCATGCCTTTACAGGCAGTCAGCCTGTGTGTTGCTTCCTTGGCTCTGTTTCTCTCTAATATATTTTAACTGCAGGTCAAAACAAATGTAAAACACGGAAACACCCTAAGCCTTTCTGCCCCTATAGTAGAGACACTGCATCTGTTTTTCTTACAGTCAAAGATTATTTGCTTAACGTCTGGAGCTTCTATGGTTTCAAAGCAGAAGACTGCTTGTATAAAATGTAAGTGGAAACATCACATTTTTAGTGTCAGGCACTCCGAATCAAAGAAAAAAGTGCTTCTTTCCAGAGATGCAGTTTTATGCTTATTTTTAACAGGAGAAGCTGAATCAAAGGAGATTAACTTTATGGTTGAAGCAAATTATTCATGATTCAGAGATTGCGGAAAGGCATTCTGGTAAATGTAGGAAGCCCAGAGAAAATCTATAAGGCAGATGAGAGGAAGTGGACACACTGTAACAAGCAGAACTGTGGAATCACTTAATTGATTTGAATTGTTAAAATATGTCTCACGTTATTGTTGTGGTTTAGAATTGACCTGAAATCCAACAGAAGAATCCTTAGCATGTCCGGGATGATATTTAGAAGTTACATCTGGATATTCTCATATGAATGATTAAACCCAGCGGGAATTGAGTTGAACCTGTGAAGGCTGGGTCATTCAGCAGCTTATTAATGCTCAGCAGAAATCCAGCCACTGTTGATGTTGTGATAGTGTTCAAAACAATATCACAATAAAGGGCTTTTACTGCACCATCGCATCAAGCAGGAGTGAAGGAAAAGCACAATCACGCGCCTACAGATGTAGAGATTTAAACACACATACAAAGGGCAAACAAGTGAAAATGAAACTAAGGCTTAGTTGTGTTGCATAGCTGCAGCAGCTAAGTACCTTTTTGCAGCCTCTAATATAAGAACGTGCTCCTCTTCAGTACAGTACACTTCTAAAGCATTAGTTAACCAAAGTCCTATCTTTGATGTATGTAACTCAGAGGCTTTATAAAGAAACACATGCCGTTTTGTATGACTGCGGCCCACTGTTGCTCACTTGTCAGCTGCTAAGGCCTTTCACACAAATGTACAAACAAGTAAAAGCCGAATCCTGTCAGAGCTGTCAAGATGAGAAGTAATTGAGTCACTATGTGAGCCGGTAATCATGTATTCCAGAGTGTTGTTGTTGTTGTGAGCAAGTTGCTTGTTAATCAACAAGGAATGACTTTGCTACTGATGTTCCTGTTATCCATGACTGATCTCACTGGCAGGTGGACGATAGTGGCCAGTTGTGAGAGTCCCACAGTGTATATATGTATGTCTTTTGTTTATGCAGATTTGAGTGTTGCTGTTGAAGTATGTCGCTCCCCCAAAGCGATTCTTTTTTTTTATTCAGTGGCTGGTTGTTCAAGTTATTTTTCTTTCAGCACACGCAGGGATGAACAGCATATTATTAACTATTAGCTTTCTTGCTGGATGAGATGAGAAGATTGTAACACTCATATTTGTTTGTTAAATATAAAGCTTGAGCTTCAGCACAAATACTGGAAACATCAACTGGCTCTGTCTAAAGGTAACAAAATGTTATATCACCTTTGTTGTTTGGTAACAAAGTAAAAAAAGTCAGGTAAATAAACCCTTTGTAAAACAGCGTTAACATTTCACATCCTAATGTAGTGCGCTTCAGAGGTATACTGGTAGGTGGATATTGTTACTTTTGGACATGGCATGGCTATGCTAGCTTTTGCTAAGCTAAGCTAACCAACTCCATATAGCCACTGACAACTTTGCTAACACATTTCAGCATCAAGCAATTGTAACAACACAAGACATGGCAAAGCCAGCTTTTTGTTAACAACTACTTACCTGTATATAATTTAAACGTTAACTTTAATTTTTATTAATCTTGTGTGAATCTGTACTGTACTTTCGGACTTACTTTGTTGCTGCTTAAACTCCTGAATTTCCCTACAGGGATTAATAAAGGTCATTATTATGGTATGTTATTTTATTTGATCTTAATCCACCTGTTACCAAAACTGGCAACAGACCAAGATAAGACCAACAGTTAACTGTCTTACAGTTAGCTGGAGCTCACGGCAGCAATTACCCGTATGTTTTACTTAAGCAAAAATAAAGCCTTTTTCTCTATATGGAAATATCATTAAACACCAAGAGTTAAGGCAGAGCAGCTTGAAGACTTTAGATGGAAAGCAAGAAAACATTCTATGAACAAAATAGGATCCAGTTTCACCAAAATCGCAACATTTTCCTGCAAGGGATGTTGTAAGAAAAGCTTACAAAAGTTACAATGTGCAAGAACAGAAGCGTGTCTTTCTTCCCCCTCATTGTAGCATCCAGCTGTTATTTGAAGGTTAAATAATAATAATAATAACAATAATACATTTCATTTTTGTTGCGCTTTTCACAGTGCTCAAAGACGCTTGTAAAATAAAAATAATTATTAAAATAGTTATATCATCCTGAATGCTGAACTATTGCTTCGACCGTGTAGGAGATAATTTTTCAATATGTTTCTGATCTTTTTGACTCTGAAAGTCTGGATAGTTTTACCCTTTCAGGTCTGCCGTAACATTTATATTTAAGGGAAAGTGATTTCAAGTAGGTTTTGCTTTGATTCACAACACCAAAAGGTCAGCAACAATTGATCTGTCTGATCCCTCTTTTTGCTGTTATCAATAACAGCAACATGAAAAAATAAGTGAAGTGACAACCTGTGTATGGCTGAACGTTCTTTCTATTACCTTTAAAGGAAACCAGTTGGCTTTGTGTCGAGCTGAGGCTTGAAAATGGCAGGCTTTGACATTTTGGCAACATGGAATGCACTCTCATTATGTGATCACGAAAGACCGAGCTGTCAGAAATAAGGCCAGATGAAGAAAACATCAGGTTGAGATCAGGCTGTGCTCAAACAAACTAAATCTTGGACTGATCGCACAAAGCAAGATGTGCCTTCATGGGCTTTCATTTTATCTGTAGTCTTCGCCAAGTCTCAGTCTACTTAACCAGATATGCATGAATTCACTTGTAAGGCCACAGTTGGAAGATTTGCTAAGGCTGCGTTCTGTGCAGTGAGGCATCTTATCAACACCAACTCATAGCAGGTAAATCAGCTTGATTAGTTCCAGACCACACTGGAGCTTTTCAAACACTCAATGTTCTTCCTTGAAGCATTACAGGCACCAAATAGAGTGATGGCGGGGTGATTGACAACATGTGGTGTGGTATTTTCTTTGTAGCCTGACATGTAGGTAAGCTGCATTTACTGGCAAGCCCTTGTTTGTTTTGGCAACCCCGCTGTCTGTCCTACTCCCTGTCTAAACTCTGTCCAGCACTGCATGATGTTGGTCTGGACTCTGTCAGGATGGGTTTGTCGCGCCGCAGGCGGAACTTTAAAACGCTGTAGTTGAGGCATTGTTGCGGCAGAGAGGTTTTAAACACTGCACCTACTCCTGAACAGTAGCTCACACAGAGGTTTGTATTGTAGTTTTTGAAGACTGTTCAATAGCTTGCTGTGTGATTGAGTCTACGGTGCATGTTTGTGTTATTTTCCGATGTTTGGCTGAACATCGAGTCAGAGCGTGTTGCCTGTTGTATACAGTAGATACCACCATCAGAGGAGGAAAATATGCCAGTAGCTTCTCAACAGTCTCATTTATGCAAATTCAGGAGTATTTTGTGAGCATATTTCTGCTTTTCTGTGTTTAGGGATGCAATTTACA